ATGATGAATTCAGCGACATATTTGAATGTTCTGTTTGAACATTTTCTCGGATAACTGCATGAATATTGGTGGCAATTTCAGTGTGTCTTGTCTCGCGGATCATACGTAATGAGTAAAAGATGCTAACCAAGCTAAACTCTGTTGCACGTCAGAATAACCTCATTTCGCGCATGAAATGGGACCTAAGACCATTCATTGGTAGAAAATCGGCAGATATAGCGAATTACAAGCAATCGCATGCGTCCAAATCGGTCGGCAATAGTGGGGACGGCGTAGATCGGTCGAAAACTCGTCCGAGCGTGAGGTTATTCTTATATGGAACGGAGTTTAGACCTCCTTCATCCTCTCGTCTACGTATGCGAGAAGGTAACCCGAGGACTGGAGATTAAGATCGTTCTACAATTTCTTCTCGATAAGAGGGCAAGAGAAGCACGCAGTCGTTTTGATCCTGAGATGAGTCCTCACATGATTTCTTTGAAGTTGCTCCTTAGGGGTGGCCTCTTCGCCGTTCCCCTTCCCTTTCTTCTGGTCCCACTCCGCACTGATGAGAGCGACTCGTTTGACGTCCTTATGTTACTGAAACTACCTCTCGACAATGCGGATCCCGATCTAGAGACACTCCCGGGCACTGGATCCCCTCTTACGCGAGTTCTGTTGCTGCTACATCTGCGCATTCCGAACCTTGCTTCTCCGACTGCCCCGCCACCTCCACCTCCGAAATCCTTCGGTCCCTATCCAAATGTAATTCCAATTAGCTCAGCCATGTCATCGCCAATGGTCCTTCGCATTTCTTTTATTTTGAGTAAAGCCATGTCACCTGTAGTAGTTCCTTCTGTTCGCCCATGATGAGACTCCCACCGCGGTGGTGGCACTTTCCCGGGTAAGAGAAACCCCTAGTTATGGATGCCATAACCGAGAAGAAATTTGTCGGACCGTCTACCCTATCGACAATAAGTGACACTACACAAAATGTTACGGAATAGACCTGCACCATACATGATGCAAAAGGTTTTACGTTTGCTTTTATCGAATAGGTGACACTTTGATCCGATCGGATGCCTGACGATGCAATGGTTTGCCCCCCTCTCCAATACTTAGTGTATGTTGGGGCATAGACCATGTCCCCCGGCAATTCCTGTGCTCGGTAACTCATTCTTTTTTCTTTAACGGGGGGAAAACCTTGAAAAGGTGCACCGCCTCCGTTGGGGGCGGAAACGGCCCATGCGGGATTTCCCACGCTAAAAACCCCCGGTGACCCTTTCGGGCGTGAGGGCTGGTCGTGGGATCGTTCGACACACACCGCGGCCAGCCCCGCCATTGCCCACCTTCTGGCCTTCTGATAGCTCCCCCCCCCCCCCTCCCGAGACGGCTGTATGCCGTCCCTCCACCTCCTACCTACAGCGCCGAGGGGTCACCTCTCGACGCTTTCTTCTCGTGAGCCGACCGCGAAAGGAGGTGGTACGGTAGGTACGGCGGCGGGCGACGCGAGGGTCATCGCGTCAGGGATCACCAGCAGGGCAACCCCTTGTCTTACAGCGGTGCAACCTGCACTGCTGTATGTAGAAGAGGAATGGGGCGGTTCAGGGTGCCCGAGGGCCCCCCGTTCCGATCCCACCTCCGGGTAGAGGGACGGCCGCGGGAGCAGCAACTTGCCATCTCCGCGCCCGCCTCACTCTTCCTTCACCCCGAGCGGGATCGGGCATTTCCCGATCCCGCTCGGCAGCCTCCCTCTGTGTGAGGATTTCCTCACAGACGGAGGCCACGGCGTCCCACGACCTCTCGTCGCGGACCATGGCTTCTACCACGGCCCGCGCCGAGAGGGAGCGCCCGGTAACCCATTTTTTTTTTTTTTTTTTTTTTTTGTTACGCGGGGGAAATGTATAAAAAATATTCTCGACGATCATTGAAATTAAATTCTTTCGAAAATCAAGCAATACAGTAGCCCTTCGTTACATGGAGTCCCTTTTATTGCATATTGGCAACACCCCTCGCTCACACGTATTTCCCACACACGTGCACGTACCCCACTCTCTCGCGCAGCACGCCCAGGATGGAATACATACGGTGTCGGGTTTAACTCGCATATTTCATCAAAAAAAGTGCGGTGTATATAATATTGTTTTCATAAAATATTTCAATATTTTTAGATATTTTCAGTTATAATTAACTACATTTCGTATCATGTTTAATTCATATTAAATATAAGAAGTTATATAAGCTTATAAACCTATAAAATATTAAAACATTAATTGTCTATTAGACTGAAATACATTTCGATTATATAGGGTGTCCCACGCAACTGGAACAGGCTGTACCTCCTATACGGTTGGGAATAGAAGATGTTATAAGTAAAAATTAAATGGTATCAGACGGTGCATAATATGCAACTAATTGTATGCATTTTTGTACATCGGTGCATCAGAAAAATGCAACTGCATTTTTAAAAAAAATGGAAACCTATGTTTTTGACTGCACTAATCGATGTAGTTTCTTGTGCTCTACATAAAAGTACAAACATACTTATGCCCTAAACTTATTCGTTAGGAAGTTATCGAAGCTGAAAGTTCTCTGAATTATTTCGGTTTCTCGGCAAGTGTTCCGGAGTACCTATGTTATGTTCCATTACAATGTTTGTAAACATGAAGCTTCGATAACTTCCTAACGAATAAGTTTAGGGCATAAGTAAGTTAGTACTTTTATGTAGAGCACAAGAAACTACATCGATTGGTGCAGACAAAAACATAGGTTTCTATTTTTAAAAAAAGTGTAGTTGCATTTTTCTGATGCACCGATGCACAAAAGTGCATAAAATTAGTTGCATATTATGCACTTTACTTATAACATCTTCTATTCCCAACCGTTTAGGAGGTAGAGCCTGTTCCAGTTGCATAGGACATCCTGTATACAGGTTGAGCTTTTCTGTTATTCCGTATTAGTAGCATATAAATGAATATCATTTTCATGGAAAAATAGTCACATTGGTTCAGTTCTGCGCCTTAGTGTATTTTGCTACAACCAGTAACCCACGTTTTTCTACACTTTTATACATAAATCAGATAATTAAGCAAATTCAGTTGTAAATCATTTTGTACCTCACAATTTTTTCCATATTATTGATTACACTGTTTTCAGTAAAGAAGAATAACTAAAACTACTATTTAATTATGTAGTATCGTAATTTTAGTCGTACTCGAAGTTAGTGTTAAGAGAACGTAGCTGTAAGAGAGTAATAAAAGAAAAAGCGAAGGTTGGCAGTGACGAAAGCCAGGCCCATCGATGAACCCTCGGCGACGAGCGGTCCACCGATGCGTTGGCGACGTTTTTAGTGAGCGAAGTCGTAGTGGGGATAAGGAAAAGGGACGCAAGGGTTTTTTCTTAAAAAGGGGGTCGTGGACGGAGAGCGGAATTGTTGTTGTTATTGAGTCGGAATATAAAGTTATCGTGTCGTAGAGAGTTAGAAGTCTGAGTTGTTCGTGTAGTCATTTATTGTTAGTTATAGTCGTAGTTGTATTTAGTTTAATTGCCTTTGTTTTAATATGATCCTAGTTTTATATCACGTAATTTTAGTCACTGGTCCTAACAAACATATTATTTAAATCTAATCCCACAATTATATGGGCATTGTAAGAAATGGTTCAGTGGCATTGATCACTTTAATTATCACCATTATATCTACAAACATAAAAAAAGTTTATTCACAAAAGTTATATGGTATCAGAGGAACCATAACATAACAGAAATAATTTTGTTGTAGGTCGAGAAAAAATTAACTGTTGATCATATTTCACATTTTGTAATATAAAATATTTCACGAGTTATTAACTTTGTTCACATAATACCTTAATACTTTATTACGAAGTATGTTTGGAAGAATCCATTTACATAAAAAAAAATATTTTGATTCCACAATGTTTCAGTATCATTAAAAAAAAACAATCAACCTTGAAAATTAAGAAGATCCTCCACTTATGAAGAAGTTGTTACTGTTAAGTAATAGTCCTTCCATACTAAACAACTTCTTGTGAATAAATTTTTCTGATATCTCTACAAATAACGGCGATAATTAAGATAACCGTAAAGTGCGTATATCCAGCCTACCCTATATGTAGCAGTGTCGCACAACTGAACGGCTGAGTGGTGGGGAAAGCGCTCGGGTGATTGGCGCACGTTTATTGCATAATTCCTAGAATTCTGGCCCTCTACAGCCTCGAAATATGCAATAAACGAAAGGCCACTGTATATAAAAATATGTTGTTCTACATTTTCGACTTGCATATTTGTTTATTATACTGTGGGATTACAGCATCAGTTTGGTGATATCATTTATATTTATTAATGGATTTGAAAATACCAGCACGACAGGTTTTGTTACAGTTTCTGTATTGTTGGAAACGATTTTTTGTTGAGCTCAATGAAAATTTTATAGACATTGATGTGTGCGCCAACAAATTAAACACTTTCTCATAATACTACATCCTCTTGATCCGCCTATTTTTCGTTCATCATTTTCAAGGGAACATGTTTCTCATATAAACGCAATCAAACATTATACAGGGCGGGGCAATAACTATTACCACCTCAGATATCTTCGAAACTATAAGGTTCACAGAAATATTCGTTCAAACAAAATTGCTCAGTTTTTTTGCAGGTGGAGGTACCATGGATATTTCAAGGTCACATCCATTTTTTAAATGGATCGGTATCGTTTAAGCTCCTCTATCATTCTACGGAAACAGAAACATACCGATCCATTTAAAAAAATAGATATGACTTTGAAATATCCAAAGTACCTCCACCTGCAAAAAAACTATTAGCGCCATGGGATAGCTCTCTTCGTACTGTGCACTTGTGGTTAAACAAATATTTCTGTGAACCCTTATAGTATCGAAGATATCTAAGGTGGTAATAGTTATTGCCCCACCCTGTATTTAATTGAATAGTTAACAATAAGTTGAATTCCACTTGATATCAACGACCTATAATGTACTCGTTTGTTTCAGGCGGTGTCGTCGTCAGTCTACCGATGCATGTTAGCGAAAGCGGTGACGAGGGATTGGGCAGCATGTCTCCCGAACCTTTGTCGGTAATAACCGTGAGCACAGAGGGACATTCCGTGGTAAACAACGAGGTGGTAGAACTGAGACGACAGTTGGAAAGGGAACGTCACGCGAGGCTGCATCTAGAGAAGCAGATGAGAGTTATACAAAGTCAGCTGTACCCGGAAAGGTTCCGAGATAATCAGCTGATTACTTACCAGCCCCATGAGGTACCGCATGCTTCTATAGTACGCTTTAAGCGATATGCAGCTGGTACTGTTCAGTTGTACCATATAAAATTGCTATTTCTATAGGTTGAATCGGAAATACTATATCTTTGAGAAAATAATGTTTAGTCGATTGAAATATTCACCTTGAGAATTAATAGCTCTCTCCAAAGTAGATATGCACTGGTCTATTCCATTCTGATAAAAATTCGTGTGTTTACGTTTCGTGAATTCTGCAAATACTGCAGTTATCAGTTCCCGATTTGGGAATGTTTGATTTCTGACGAAAAGCTCTAGATTCCACAAAAAGTGATGGTCTGTTGGGAAAACATCTCTTGAATGTCGTGAACCATGCAAAATTTCATAATTTAATTCAGCTAACTTTACTGCGGTTTAATTTAACGCGTTAAGTGCCGTATCAACTTCATGTCATGTTCCGTTCATGCCGTATCGGCCACCGATGGTTCACTTTATTGCATTATATCAAGTGCCGTGACCCTAACCTGTCATCGGTAGCTTACGCTTGCTGATCAGCCTATGAAAGTGACAGAGACAGAGCGAGAACCGACACACCTCTGTCTCCCACATACACATAGGCGTTGGGGGGGGGGGGAGAGGCCCGGGAACCCTCTATGAGGACACCACGGTGCCCCAAAGCAACTCCTTCCTCGAAGGGATGGGTTGCATAAGGCTCGCCCCACCCCCCAGAACTCCTTCGCTGTCCGGCCGTGTCGGAGAGCCACGCCCCGACAGCGCCCCTTCTCTGGGTCGCTTATTGCAAACGGACGGAGCCTTCACTCCTCTCGTCCACGGCCCCGGCGGCTGCCTGAGTGCTCGGTGAAGGCTGAGGCCCTATCCTTCACTCTGTTGGCAACCGCCTTACCCAAAGGGGAGAAACCCCTCCGTAGTGGTGGGGAGAGAGGGGTATGGGGATCATCTCCGCTGTGCCCCACTTGTCCTGCCCCCTCTCATGGGCGGCACTGACTCTCTGCCGATTCCGCTATGCCGCTTCCTTCTTCAGCATCACGTGCTCTTCAGCGCGGGGGCTCAAACCTGGCGTTTCACATGTTGGACCGCCCCTCTGACAGGACCACTCATCTCCGGCGGAGCTAACGGAGGTCATCATAGATCTCCGCGAATTCTGCCGCCTACAGTTGACACGGCATGACTCTTGCCAGAGTGGTCGTCTCTTCGAAGGAAATGGTGCCGTACCCGCTGAAGACCCTAATCGCTGCTGACCGTTACATCTGTCGCAGCAGCGTTCCGCTGTGTCGGTAGGTTGTGGCTTTGCTCACCCACCGTGGCGAGCCGGCCACCACCTCCATGTATAAGCGGAATGCCCCGTTCTCGTGTTCCCTTAGGTTCGGGAGCACATGTCCTAAAGCGGACGTCGTCCTCTGCATACGGGGGCCAAACGGTCCAAGTGGGCGTTGATACGCCAGGATCTATCCAGGGTGAGGCTCAGATACTTCATCTGGTACCCCACCCAGATCTCAACTCTACTTACCTTGAGCGACACCGGCCGGGTGGACACCCTGCGCCGAGACCAACCGCAGAGCCATATGGCCTTGGTTTTGTGCGAGGCAACCTGTAGCCCGAGCCGGTGGATCACCACGACGACGCGCGCCAATTCCACTTCTGCGAGGCGGACGGCCCTTCCAGGGGGACTTGTAGTACCGCGTCACATGCTAGGTCCCACAGAAACGGTTTGATGGCTGACTCCTGCGGGACCCCATACATTACCCCCTCCGGTGTACCACGCCGCAACGACACGTGTATTCAATACTCTTGATGTTTGATTGCATCAATCGTCGATCGTCCCTGCCGCAATCCAAACTAGCACTCAGCCAGGTCGCGACCTTCGCGCGACAGGTGTGCCGCGAGGCAGGAAGCTAGTACTCTTTCAAGCAGCTTTTCCGCCTCGTCCAACAGGCACACAGGTCGATACACGGAGGCAGCTTGCACGAGTCTGCTCTGTTTCCGGAGCAGAACCATCCGCCCTCGCTTCCACGGTGGGGGAAAACGGCCGGACTTTAAGCAACCGCCAAACAGCCGCCTGAGTTCGGCCCCAAGGACGCCACTGGTTAATACCCAGACCCGGCCGGGTATGCAGTCTAGGCCCGGCGCTGTGTTTTTGTTACCGAGCCGCCGGATAGCCCAGGTCATCTCCTCCCCCGTCACACCCAGATCGGTGGACCAGATCGGCTGGTCCGCTGTTTCCTCAGGGGGTTCATCCCCATCGCCTTCATGGGGGGGGGGCAGGGTATCTATTACCTCCTGAAGGAACTGAGGGTGCATACTTTTCGTGACTGGAGGCTCCCAGGGATGTAGCCTTCCCAGCACCAACCTATACGGGCGCCCCCGTGCGACATGATGGCCGATTGCAGGGTCCCGCGAGCCTCGAAGTCACCAAGAATATTGAACTGTTTCAATAATAATTCTACAGTAAGTCTTCGTAGAGCTTCGTAGATCCTGATAGCAGACATCCGTATCATTACAGGCGAGTGCAAGAACTTATGCCAGGTGATTATGAAAAACGTTCCCATCGAAAATATTGTGGATTGATGAAGCGACGTTTACGAAGGGAGGAATTTTTAATATTCACAACAATCATGAATAGGCACAAGAAAATCCATACATAACTCGAACAGTTTGCCTTTCAGCATCAGTTTACATGTAATGTATAAGCAGGCATGTACAATGATATGTTAGTAAGGCCGAATTTTTTACCATATAGATTGACTGCAAATACATTTCTGCACTTTTTGGGGAATTAATTAGCATGCCTTTTAGGAGGCGTGTAATTGTTTTCTATTCAAAACATGTGGATGCAACTAGATGGTTGTCCGGCACATTTCGGAACATATGTCCGTCAGTGATTAAATAATGATTTTCTTTAACTGTTGTGATAGCAAGGAAACACAATCGATGCTATTGTTGTGCACGCATGAAAACATGCTCAGATTATTTTCCTTCACGTTTTTTCCAAAGAATGGTCTTTTTATGGAAAGCTGACAGTTTGTCTATTGATGTTACGATGTTTTCATTTGTACCCCGTATGGCCGTATTGACAGTGTTGAAGTAATTAAAAATGTCTATCAAATAGCCCAATTTGTCACACCACATATTCTTAAGATCTTGCGTGAAGGATATATTTTCATTTATGAAGAAAACAAGCAATTCTTCTGATTCTAACACATGGGAAAGCACCTTACCTCGAGAAAGACACCTGATTTATCTATGAAGAAGTAAGCCTTCATATTTTGCTTTCATCGCTAAACATAGTTGCTTAAAAATGCGAGATTTCAATGGTCTTGCCTTTATGTAATTTACCATATTAACAACGCTACTCGGAACACTTTTTAATTCTGTGGGTAATGTTTTTACAATAAGTGCCTCCCTATGTAAGAAGCAGTGGTTTAAATAAATCCCACTCTTTTGACTGAGATCCTCAAATCTTTTGACTGAGCCTAGCATTGATGGAGCCTCATCAGTACAAATTTCCACGCATTGTTACCAGGTCAAATTTGAACGTTCAAAGTAAGAATTAATTGTGTTAAATATATCTTCTCCCGTTGTTCTCTCTGATAATTCTCCACAACACAAAAATTCATTGACTATTCTATTTTCTTTAACAAATTTAATGAATCCAAGTAAATTGGCTTTTCCACTAATATCGGTTCGTCAATTTGAAGAGCGAAATGTGTATTATGAAATTTATTTGCAAGTCTGCCTTCAATGTCTTTCCTTCAATTATTGTTCATTGAATAGTATTATTTGAGACAGGTATTTCCATTACTTCTTTATTCGCACTTTCCCTAAACATAATACTGACGAATTCACTACATGCTGGTAAAATGAATGATTCTGTTATGGCATGTGGTTTTTGTTTCATTGCTACTAATTCTGCTATTTTGTATAATGCCATTTGCGTTTTATCTGATAGTTTCACAACTTGATTGAAATACTTTGCTTGTTTGTTTTGCATATTTAAAAGTAGTTCAAAATAATGTTTACCTTTTGAACTAAGATTTTCATGCGTAGTGATAAAATGTTGTTTCAATTTTGTAGGAACCATTGTACTATTGGCAAATTTTAAACCACATACATAACACAATGGTGTTGGGCAATCTTTATCGCCTGTCCATGTAAAACCGTAATTCATAATATATTCATCCCGACTAGGAATTTCAGTTAGGCAGGCATTAGGTTCGCATTAGGCTAACCTAATTTGGCTGTTAGGCCCTAATGGGGCAGCCCCATTAGGCCCGCATGCGCCATATAACGCGGAATACCCACGCCTACCTAATTGGGAAAGCCAAATGAGGCTCGCATTAGGAAAGCCGAATGAGGGCCGCATTGGATTTTCCCAATGACAAACCAATGAGGCAAACCGCATTAGGCCCAAATTAGGATAGCCTTATTAGGCCCTCATTATAGGAGACGTTAATGAAATCTCATGAGGGTGAATACTTGATAAGTCGACTGCGGATTTTATGCATTTATGGCAAAAACGAATTGATAAAGATCCGCAGTCAACTCATAAGATCTATGGTAGTCTTGAGCTGGTTAATTCGCGAATGGGAGAAATAAAGCTCTTCTTTTATTACAATATTTACATTTATGCATATTATTGCAATCGTTGTTGATTGAAAAGTTATGGGATGGTAACAAAAATTACAATGATAAACTATTTGAAATAACATTAACAATAATAACATCAAAAATAATAATAACATATATTAAAAGCTTGAATATTATTAATGTAAACATTTTTATTAAGAAACATCAATCTTGATGTAAGGTTGTATTCACAAAAGTGAATAATTTTTCGTCGGACGCCTTCACGGGATTAAATTTCAATGCAAGATCTCGTGCTACACAAAATCTTAATATTTCGTCCATATTCCGGACGATTGTTGCCCGTTTGTTTATTACATTTATGAATTTTGTGCCTGCAAACAATTTCACGATGGAATTATTTCATTTTTTACATGTAACATATATAATAGATAAATACATAGAGACGAAATAAATACATAAAAGTATACCAATTTTTGAGGAAAATCTTCGTCTCCTTTTATTCTGTCGTCGAATTTTTCGAATTCTTGTTTGGCGAGACAGGGAAGGATTTCCAATTATTTTCGAAATCCGAATTCACATCACAGTTGACACTACTTGTTGTTTTATCTAATAATTGTCCGATGGCGACTTTCAGATCAACCATTTGGCTACCAAGTTGGCTCATTTGGATTGACAACGACTGATGGTGTTTCTGCATCGTGCGATCTAAATAATCTGTAATTAAATTTAAATATTATGGTTGTAAAAATGGGTTTAAATATTGTTGAATGGACGAAACACATATTTATTGTTTTAAATAATTTCTTCATCTAACAGGTTTATCATAATTACTTTTCAAAGAATTTATTTGATCTTGATAAGTAGTGGTACACGAACTTGATGGTTATCGGTTGAGTTATCGGTAATTCGTCCCTTTCATTTGAAAACATTTTCTGCGACGGAGAATTTATATCAGGATCACTCTCTGATGAACGTTCCGATGGTGTCACTTTTTGCCTCTTTACGCCTTCACTCGACGAATAATTGCTCCCACGTGCTGTAATAATCTTCCTTTTTTTTATCAATCACACTAATACTGCTTATATCACGATCCGTACCTGACGAACTTTCCGAAATTATTGGTGTCACTTTCTGTCTGTTTACGCCTTTACTGGATGAATAATTATTACTCCCACGTGTTGTAATTTTCCTTCTTTTTTTTTAATCCATTGCACTATTGTATGAATGTAATGTATGAATTTACCATAATCCGCGTAAATGTAAGAAGGATATTTTATTAAATATAAAAGATCAACGCCTGAAAACCGGATTTACGTTATTCAAGCTTAATTATAACGTCTAGTCGCAGTGATGATCCTCGAGAGAGTGTGCTTTTTTGCGTTTTCCCAAACACGTATATGTACAGGTAAAAATTTGTACCTGTTCTACGTTCCTCTCCCCTTCTGTCGCTTTATTTGGCCATCCCCATTTGGGCCACGTACAGCAACTGTTAAGCCGCGTACTCACCAAGCAAGCGAGCACGAGCGAGCATTCAAAATAATGAATACGAAGAAATTTGTTTGCGCAAGTGCTGCTTTTATTCTGCTGAAGTTAAGTGCAAAGATAAAAAGAAAGAAAACAAGATAAACAATGGTGACAAACTTCACTGTTTAAAAACAGACAACGGTGTAGTGGAAGCCATTTGTTAAAGGAATTGTAGGAAGAAGAAGGATATGAAATGTTTCGAAATTTCTATAGAATGTTGACCGAAGATTTTGAAAAATTTCTACAACTTGTTAAACCAAAAATAATGAAAAGTGACACAAACTATATAGGAAATATATTCTACGATTCTTGGTTATAGTAAGCCTCTATGAGTTTAATAATGTTTTCATTACACCATTCTATTTTTATTTCACACGGAATAGAACGTTTCTGGGTAGAGCAATGGAATGCACCAAATAACCGTCTACACCAGACGAGCGCGAACACGTCTTTCTTTTGATGTACTTACACGAGTCGGATCATTCAGCGAACACGAGCAAATGCTCGCTCGCTTGTGCTCGCTCAGCGGTACACACCAAACGAGCACTGAGTGAGAATGCTCGCTCGCTTCTGTTCGGTCGTGTTCGCTCGCTTGGTGAGTACGCGGCTTTACCCATCACTAGATATCAAACGCCGTCGCCGAACGGTCGCGCCCGTTCGGACAAAGTTATTCGAGATTTATTCGAAGCCTACGAATAAAAGTACGAATAAAGAGGAAAACTTTATTCAACAGCTCGAATAGATTCCGTTCGAATAAAAACATTATCTTTCGCCGTCGAATTTCCTTCGAATAAAAAAATTGTCTTTCACTTTCGAATAAATTTATTTCGAGAAATTTATTTATCCGTGGTGTTTACTTATTATTACTTATCCATTTGTTTTTGGAAACAGTAGCCTGGTCACGTTTGTCAGTTAGGGCCTTTAGCGAGTCAGGAGGTTGGTCATACAACAGTATCTTATTCCCATTTTAATAGAATCTATCGATTTGATCGTTATTCCGGAGATGCAAATTCAGTAAATATTTAGAATAGGGGAGGCAGCTTGGACGACCTCGACCTTGAAATATCTTGTCATCCTCCTCAGTGATCTTCAGAAGGTTCCCAACCGTCGCTCTTTATTTTTTAAAAAGTTGTGAACAAATAAATTTCGCAATATAAAGGTATATGTTCTTCTTAACTTCTTAACAAAAAACGAGCGATGGGTAAAACCTTCTAAAGGTTACTCAGGAGGGTAACTTTGAGAACACATGTCAAGGTTCAGGTCATCGAAGCTTCCTTCACTATTTTAAATAGGTATTCATCCTCATAATCAGTAAATAGACGTAAACACCCTGTCTCATTTTTATAAATTACTCAGTAATCATTCAGAATGTGAAAAGACCGGAGTTTAGGTGTGAAACGAATGAAACTTTCTTTATTGAATTTAGACATCGTGTAGTTTTGTTTACGTTATGTTTATTATGTTGAATGAACAATAATTTGGCCATCGTAATTCATAAGCACATATATTTGTATATTATTGTAATTAAATTTAAAATTAAACAAATTTCTCCATAGGTGATCGAACACACGGATAACGTAATTGCCCAAGAGACAGAGGAAGCTGTAGCCGCTCTGCAGGTAGTATCCGTGGTGTCTTTACCACCCGTCGGGTCGACGCAGACTGTAGAAACGTCCAGTCCGGATCCCAGTTCACCGCCACTGTCGCCGCAGCCTGCAGACATGGTACCAGAGGAAATCAAGGAGGAAGAAGCTGAGCCTGGAAGTCCGAAAATCGTAGCATTCAGCCAGAATCAAGCGTTCTCCGCGATTGAAGAGCAGACGACCGGCGACTCATTTTCTTCGTCGAGTCGTGTTACGTATTCAGAGGATTTCAAAACCACGTCGCCACAGTACATCACCGCCAGTCCCAGCAGGCCATTCTCACCGGCCGCAGAACTACAACGGTTACCTAGTGTTCTAGAAGCGGCGATGAAAGCGGAACCGAAGGTTGAAGTTGAGAGGTAATTAGTCAAATTTTGAATACCCTACTGTTTACCTAATGCACCAAACATGGGAACAACTGGCTGCGCATGGCCATTCAAGTATATATTCGTCCATGTACGTCCCGCATACCGCAATTCTTATAAAATTTTACGGGGTCGTAAATCTCATTTACACTCGATCGCGACGATATAGTTATCGAGAATGTAGGCTTGCTTTAAGTTAATGAAAACTACCCTGATTTAGACTCGGAAAATGATGAACACTCGTTATAACAGAACAAGAATATTTTAATTAGAAACTTAACATGAACAGAGTACAAGAAGTTCTGAATAATGGAATCGCGGATGCGAATCGGTATGACTTCGAATCGAGATGAGAACTGACTGCTCCAAGTTATATATTTATAATTATTATAATTAGTTTACAACGTATATGAGGTTTATCGGATATAATAGCGATATAAGCATTATATGAAACATACAGAAATTTTGTATTTCTATAATCTTTTTTCCAAATACTATGGTATACAATATTTTTTTAAATATACCGCAAAAGAAGAACCTATTCTGAATTGACATTGCACGGCCCTGAAGAGGCTTAAACGTATTAAATTACAGTTTCGGGTACTTTTTCAACTTAATGGTTTTACGAGGACACAATATCGTGCCCATGGAATTTACCGTTTCGGTCGGTCTGTTGAGATCGAGCATCGGTTAGTGGGTATTGCCCGATTGGGGACTACGCGATCTGCCGACCTTATGTTTTGTCGGTTGCTTGGGTTGACGTGGCCACAGTCCACATAGCTGAAGAATCGACTGACTATTGCTCTTTCGCCGCCTGACCCATCACTTTGTTCATTGATAGCCTTATACATAGATATGAAACATATGACCATAAGAGCACATTTTCTGTCTGAAAATTTCTACTACCTCCTGAAAACTCATGAAAACAAAGGATGTCTAGACTCGAACATAAACTTCGCGACTCATTAATTTCATTTTAGTAAAATTCGAATTGAAAAAATACATCCCATTAAGTACAGCTACCGTATCAGAACAACTAATAAGGGGTCCGAAAAATATATAAGATAAAAGAAACTTCGTGCTTGTGGTATGCGACTTCGTTGTATCTTGGCGAATGATGTGGTTGGATGTTCCCCTTCGGTATCATACTAACATACCTTCAGACATTAGCTATACTTGATCGAAGTATACTGTAATCTAATCAGCCCAGTCTGAGAACTGTAGTGTCAATAAGAGTGACAAAAAGTGAAGTACAAAGAGAAGTCGGAAGAAGGAAAACTACTACAGTACCTATAACACGTTGTTAGTTATTACAGCGTGTTGTAATTTGTTTCGCCAGGTTACGCTTAACATAAACACATTATTTCACCTTCTTTACATGTACTAAAAGTTAATCTTCAACACACGTGCTTTTTCTCTCTAGGCATCTGCACCTTCGAATACCACGTGCCTCGGAGAAACAAAAACTACTCACACCGCTCGCTCGTATCAACCTACCATCTATTCACTTATACCAACTTAACTTATATTCACTCGTACCAACCCTCAGGAATTATTCATTCACTCAACACAGCGGATAGTAGTGCGTGAAACGACCGTTCCGATCGATCACATGATTCCTTATGTATTTTCGTTATGATCTCAATCTCGGTCGAGCAAACTGGATGCGTGCGTACGTGCGTGCGTGTCTGCTTGTTCTATCTAAGCGGAATACAGTACGGAGAAGTAGATGGTCAGGATATGCATAATGATCCACTGTGACAGTATTGATCTATGTCTGCAAGAAGGTGGGGAATTCTGAATGGCTAATTGTTCGAATGCTTAAAGAGTCCCTCTGTGAAACGCCCATAGAACTTTCTAGAACGAAAATGTTTTCTACGTATAATTGTGAAGAAAGTTATACATATATACATAAGACCTGGAAATATTTTATTTTTTTTGAGAGATATTAATTTTACGGCAACACTCGAATATCACGAATAACTAATTAGTCTCGGATTTACAGCGACGTTAGCTCAAGTTCTATTAGTACGCAGTTCTAACAGAAAGATGATGGCAATATATACTTGTAATTGCACACTTAAAAGATATTTTAGATAACTCCATTAATTCGGTTATATTACATTACCGAAGTACAGCAATATTTCAATCTGTCCCAATTCAGTGTTTGCTTTTGAAAATACTTTGTATCATTTAAACCCTGTATAACCTGAATTTTTTTTGTAGCTACAACAAAATTTAAATAACGTAAAACCAAGAAACATGAACCTCTAAATGCAAATGAACAATGAATTTACAGTTCTCAAAGATCTTATTGTTTCTACAATATCTCAAGCTAGAGTTGATAATCCCTATACTATAAAGAATCTTACCGGTTATCAAAGACAGATTACAGAACACGATGCATACGCCACATACCGACAAAAATTAAATTAGACCAAACAAATTCAAACTCACACGGGGCTATAGAGGGTTAAACATAGTCTGTGTTAAAACATTTAAATTATTTTGTTTGAACGCACCGAGTTCATTTGTTTCATCGTGATTTTGTGCTTAATAGTCTAATATTTTCAGCCGTTTCCAATGGCTTTTCCAGCTTCGTCATTGCATCTTAATTTCAACATTTTCTTCCTCATGTCTTTCATGCATTTTGTTTTTCTTTGAAACTTTGTTTAACAGTCGAAACTGTTATTGCGTTTTATTAGACAAAATAAGTAAAATTTCCATCTGATACTTTCTACCTTTTATTATTTCAATTATTTGTTTGAAAAAGGTTTCATAAAACGACTTAATCATTTTAGCCGACAACGTCAGAAATGACAACGACTAACAGTTTCTAGCCTTGCCAGGAAGTCAGCCCGTTTAACAAAACAAAACCTGTTCTAATTTCAGGCTGCCATCGCCATCGAACTCTCTAGATGATGGTTCTCCGCAGGCGAGGTTGTACCTGGCGAATACCTCGCGACAGAACTTGGAAACGATTGTCGAAGCAATACGTCACCTAGAGGGGGATCATCTATTCAGCGACGAGCCAGCACAAGATGTTCCGCTAGCATTGACCAACAAACAAACGGTGAACCCGTCAGGGAAGCCATCAACGTCACCATCCGCATCCTCGACGGCGAAGCAACGGTTACTGCAAGCTGAGTTCCTTCAGTTTCATAAGCAACAGCAGACCCAACAGACCCAACAGAGGCCGGGTGTGATCGTGGTGAAGCACTCGTGATCCAGAGGCGCGTCTCGATCAGTAAACTGAACGCGCTCACCGCGAAAAGATTGCCTCCGCTCGAGAAATTAGACCCACGACGCGTTCAGACCAGAGGATTAGCTCTAAAAACCGAGACAAGAGAAACAATTTTTAAATTGACCTTGGACGTTCGAGTCTGAAGCGGTGTTCCTCCAAAAAGATGCCCAGGGAGACCTCCTTGCGTTCGTACCGCCGATCGAGGACATTAACCGGGTCCGGTCGGCGTTTTCGTATGTTCCTACTGCCTGTCGTCCGCCTTTGTTTCGACTAGCTCGATCTGCGCCACGATCCACGATAAAAACCTGTTGTTGTTTCGGTAAGCGTTGTTCGTCGATAGAATAGAATCTGTTGCGATTTACTTGTGGTTAAGTCGTGACGTAAACTAAATCGAATAACCATCAGTGGTAAAAGTAAATCGAAACGAAGGTGGGATCAAGTCGAAGTTCGACGAAAGAATTCTCGCTATTGAGTCGTCAAAACGACCCCCTTCCCCCTCCAATACACACACACACACACCTACACTGATTTTTGTAAATACCATCGTTATATTTTCTCCGTTTTCGAATTCTTGTTTTACAAAAATCCGCCACCTACCGCTCCCCGAGTTCTTGAAACTCAAAAGATTCTTTTTCTCGATATTCGCTCAGTAGATCCTATACCTACTTCCTTATATCCCTTCCCCATCTCCCTTCGCGAATTGAGATAGCTCCAGCGGATGTTTCTCCTCGTGTGTTACGAGGCAAGATTTTCATTTTTCTAGAGTTAAGCGACTTGCAACCATAATGATAATAATATTAATATTAATAATATGCGTAGGTGGTAAGGCAGCGTACGATGTATTGTATCCGGATATGCATACATACACACGATATATACATGTACACGTTACCGCTGAAAAGTTTGGGATCAATTACATTTGGGATCAGTTCCATTTTTTATAGAAAATTATTCTATTATACAGGATGTTCTGATTGTAATAAGTGATACAAATGAGAAGTAGATAATTCTGTGCGCAAAAAATGATTCGAGAGTGTACAGTAGAATTTTTTTGATATTAAACTTTATTATCGAAGAAATACGTTGTAAACTTACTACGAAAATGTAGAAATACCAATTATATTCCGACAATAGATTATTGTTATGAAGAATATGAAATTCAACAGACTGACTATCAAAGAATACAAGCGATGTTTTCGTTTTATTCATGAACATAGAATCATCTACTATTTATGCGCCCTGTATATGTATTTCAAATGGATATATGTATATATAACTAAAAGAATTGATAATACTAAAAATGTGTGATACCAGCTATGTTTTTTAAATTTTCATTCACAAAATGTTAATGTTGTAACTATACTGTGGATTTGTATACGCTAATTCTTAAGAACTATTAATTATACATTATTTTCCTTAGCCTTTTATAAATTTCAAAGCAAAAAAAGAATTAAATTTCAATAAAATTTTCATTTTATCTGAGTTTTGGGCGTAACTGCATAAAATTCACAGTGTAATTATATATGAACCAACAATACTGAGCGGAAGTGCATATGATCCTACAAGTGTATATACATATGTGTATATTATATATATACGTATGTATATGTGTATGTGTATGTGTAGTATATGTATGTATATGAATATGTATATGAAATATGTATATATAACGAGAGTACATGTAGCTATGCGCGCGCCCGTGTGTTGCGTGCGTGCGTGTGCGTGCGTACGGTTCGCGCGTACGGTTCGTGCGTACTTGCTTGCATGCATGTGTGTGTGCGTGCGTGTGTGCGTGTGTGCGTGCGTGCGTGTCTGAAAATACTTATTTACGTTCTTTTTTTACATTGTTATGAGGATTTACAGAAGAAAAGGCGAAGTATATACTGTGACAACGCATTCAAGAGAAGAATTACACTTTTGACTGTAATGGTGTTTTATCTCGATTATTCATGGGAATACTACGACGAGTGCGATAATTCAATTGTACTACAGAGGACGTTGATTAAAAAGATTGTACGTCCATCACAGCCACTATATATATCATGATTATCGTACGTACACGTATGCTAAATATTTGACATATTAAGATGCACATCGGAGAATCGGGATTCGTCTCCGATTTCCGGGACACCGAACGACACACATCGATCTATATTACTTTTCGGTGACGAAGAAATTCGGTTTAATCTGTGCCAAATATCGAGTATCCAAATTTTTGTTCCTTCGTAGATGTAGTGCCACAATGGCAGATCGGTACATCTAACGGGGACCGGAAGCAGCGGTAGGATCGTTCGTCCCCTCCCGCGATCTGTCGGCATATTTTCAAAGCGACTTTTTCTATCACGAATTTAAAAAAAAATAATACATGTTCCTTCTCCACCACCCTTTTTCTCAAACAGTTGTACATGGTTGAAAACTGGAGCGGGTCATGCTACACCTCAGAAGACACTCTCCCCAAAAGAATCTTTTTGTACACGTATAACGTTGAATGAGATGTTTATTATTCGATGAAGAGAAATAAACGCGGAGTTGAAGATTTTGTCGTGCCTTTCGAGGGAAGGAACGATCGAATCCAAAGATTGAACGTGATTGATCGATTGGCCGATATGAAGTGTGTTGCTCAGAAGAAGCTCAGCGAAGGATATGCGAGTCCGATTGGTTATATCTCCCCAAGCCCACCTTCACAAACACAACCCCAGAACATTGGGCACACGTATTGTCCTCGTTCGTCGGCGTCATGATATCGACCAATAAGACCATGCAGCACCCCGTGTGACGAACGATTTCTCGCGGTGCGAACGAAGGGCCCCGTTGCACCTGTTCCGTTTTACAGGATTTTTCTGAACAACGCATTTTACCATCTCCTGGGGCGACATTCGCCTCCCCCCTCCCTCTCTCTCACGCTCTCTCTCCCACCTCGCTCCTTCCCTCATCCCACCCCCGCCCTCTCTCTCTCTTTCTCTCTCTCTCTCTCTCTCTCTCTCTCTCTCTCTCTCTCTCGCTCTCTCTCTCTCTCTCTCTCTCTCTCTCTCACGTTATACAAAGTAAACCTTTTTTTTATTCGTTTTTTAATTCACCTCACGATATGAAGGACTGATTACCCGATAATTGGGTTACGTAGAAATCACTGAATATATTTTTTTTTTAATATTATTTCATCGTGAGTTTTGACTTGCGTAACTATTATAGAAGGTGTACAATATGTAGGTGTTAAATTTATGCAGTGTATTTATCCATTGTGTTTGTAATCGCCTTCTGCATTATGTGTTAATATGCTGTTCTTGTGCTTTTAAACAAAGTATTATTAGGTTGTTAGGTATGAAATAAAGGATATCATTGATTTATATATTTGACTATACTTTTATGAATGAAATTTGTTAACAGTGTCTCCTATTTGCGTATGAAGTAATAGTGTGCGCCTTATTTTTGATAAGAAACCATTTGCTAGTTGCAGATTGCGTAGAACGAATTAAAACGATGCGAAAATTTTCGATCAAATTAAACCTTAAGTAGTGAAAATTTTTCATTCGGGCGTCTACAAAAGACTACTTTGAAGACATTGACTACCACATCACCTGTGTATGATTGTTACAACTTTGGTGGTACTGGATGAAATAAATTTAGTTTGTATTCTACAAATTAGCAACATAAAAGAAACTTTATCTTGTAAAAATCAATTTGACAAATTATTGATTTAATGCTCCTTTATGAACATTACATTGATATTTCTCAAGTTTTTATTTGCTTAAAAAGGATTCCGTATGGCTTGGGAAATTTTTCTAAGATTTTTCTATGATAATGAACGTGTTAATGAAGTATTTTTGTAAATAAATAATATTTACAAGTATCGTCAAAAATTAGTTCAAAATGATTCAACTTATTTTATAAAATACTTGTACTCAACAACAATTGGGCTTCCTTGATGATTGTGTGTTGGTAATGTTGCTTTATTTAATAAAATTTATTAATGTCTAATAGAATATCAAGTGCTACCAAAACATTTTATATGAAATAACTTCATAATATTACGATTGTACTTACATACAATATATCTACGATTTTAACGAGAAAAATATTAAATCATTGAAACACCTGGACAACGTTCCTACAAATTTTTGGAATTGCTTCATCAGAAGGTTATAACTACTTACAGATTCGCGAATAAAGCGATTCTTGAATTAGATCAACAAAATACAGAAAATACCTTAAATATTCATTGTTTCTAAATAACATACTTTATACTTTTCTGTGGTCATTACTTGTGGATACTAGGTCATACGAATAAACTTCCTTAAGTTTTAACTGTTATAAATAATGAGCTAGAATCAGATGTCCACCATTTTTTTGCAATTAGATAGTAAGATTGCGATTTTGTCTTTAGGACAAGATATTGGAATTCTTTTACTGGGTATAGTAAAATAAATGATACAAATACAATGTTATTTGTAACAAACATAACAATATAGTAGTTACGTGCGCGAATACCTGATGGTTATTTGTTTAAACAGATTTCAATTCCTGAGATCCTATCGGATCATGTGACGGTTAATACACTGTATAAATTTATCACAGATGTTTTTGATGTTTGATTACCATCTCGTATACAGGGTGTCCGGGTGAGTAGTATACAGTCCGTTATTTCCAAAACTATTTGAAATACGAGAAAATTGATTACATAACATTGAATAGCATGACGGGGCTAATTAACGGATCATGGCGACTTTTTTTAACATCATTATTTTAACGGAAATGAAGGTCAAGTTTAATTTTTTCAAAGGAATTATATATTTTTTTAGAACACCTGTTAGTACGTTTCAAGACGAACGTTTTCAAGATATTATGCTTACAAATTTACTGATCTTCAGAGGAAGAAAACCTGCTCAAATAGGAAGCCCCAGAGGTGGTCTTGTTAGCGCCACAAGTGCCGCGTAAATGAGTAAATTTGTAATCGCAATATCTCGTAAACTATTTGAAAAAACGTATATGTATTCAAGGTTTCTAAATTCGTCTTGAAACGCAATATCAAGTGTTCTAAAAAAAATATATAATTCCTTTGAAAAAACCAAACTTGACCTTCATTTCTGTTAAAATAATAATGTTAAAACAATTCCTCATTGTCCGTTAATTAGCCCCGTCATGCTATTCAATGTTATGTGAACAGTTTTCTCGTATTTCAAATAGTTTAGGAAATAATGAATTGTACATGGTTTGCGCGAACACCCTGTACGACGTCTTAAATCCATGCTTGTAATAATGAAACGACGTAGTCGACAGTAGCATTGGTAATT